GCTATCAATATTTTGATCGATTTTTTATTGATTTTGTTATCGATATTTTTATCGATTTTCCTTTGATATTATTACCGATCTTGCTATCGATTTTGTTATCGATAATTTTATCCATTTTGTTGTCGATATTTATATCGATTTTGTCATCGATATTGTTATCGGTTTTATTATCGATATTTTTATCGATTTTGCTATCGATATTGTTATCGCTTTTTATATTTTGCGTTTAACAGCATTCGAACCCGAGTCTTGCCGAAAGTTAACAAATAGTAACAAGTATCTCTGCGCCCTTAGCTACAACCACAACATGTAAATGTGTTTTCAAATGTTCAGTTTGAATTAAATTTCTTTCAAGCGCTCAAACAATTTTATATTAAGTTTTTTCAATAAATATCTTTTCTGTTCAAAATTTCAAATCTTTAAATCTCAGTAAGCTGTAGAAAAAAACAATGGTATAAAATAAAAATAAAAATAGGGCTTTCGCTTATATTCTCATTGAGTTCTTTTCACTTAGAAGTATGTAAATTTGTAAAATTTTGGAAAAACCCTTTTTTTCTTAGTGTGTGATTTCGTTTTTGACTTGGATATGCTCTTAACCATACCACGTATTCTACGTTTAAATATAGCGGCTGTATCTCCGATACAGCCTGCAGACCAAGACGAAGGCGCTGGACTGTTCCTTTTTTTTACAACTGCAAATGTTTGTTTACATTGAACTTTTGATTACTTTGATGACTTTATTGTCGCCGCGTTTTGTTGCGCGTTTCTTTGCGCGAAGTATCTGTTCGGGAAACAATGATGCCGTTGAGATATGGCTGAGGTGGAAGGAGCTGAGCTGCAGGGAGCTGGGTTAAAGGGTGTGTTAAAAGGAACTGTGATTAAAAACGGGTACATATAAACGCAGTATTGGTGTAGAAAGAAGGGGATAAAATATATTTAGTCGCCCCTCTCTCTCTCTGATTCAAAATAGCACAAAAAAGCTGTAAAAAACTGTGTGTGTTTTCAAGTGTATGTCAGGCCCCTAAGTTCTAAGTTAAGAAGTGGGTGTGTCGCATCGTCTGTAGCCTGCGGGTCTATCGACTTTATTGACCGCTTTTAGTTTGCTACTCTATGCAGCTGCAACAAAAGTGAGGGTTGCCTAGTTTTTCAATAAAAAATTTCACAATGCTGTGTTGAGAATTCTTTATGTCTGTAATCTGCTCAGCATATTCATTCAAAAATTGCAAAAAAAAAAAAAAATTAAAATCATATCATAAAAGTTCATTTGTTCGAAAAAATTCCGCCCTACAATATACTCAAATCCCCCTTTTGTGCGCAGCAATCCCCAACAAAAAGTGTCCCAAAAAGAAAACCACACACACACACACACACACACACAGATGCACGCCTCAAAGCCGAATGGATTATTAAAAGCAATAAATGAAAAGAGAGCTTGGAGAAAAATTAAAACGACAATAACGGAAGCGTAAAATGGGGCAGCAAATCAAAAAGAAATGAGGGAGCGAGAGAGTAAGCACACAGAATGAATTTAAATATAAAGTAAAAGGGAAAATCACCCACAACTTGTAGGTATTGCCCTGGCAGCCCTTATTTGTGTAAGTAAGCGTATACATATGCATGTGTATGTGTGTTAGCACGCACGCACGCTGTGTATGAATAATGCACAAGGCAACATTACGTAAAACGGACACAAGCGTGCTTGGATGCTATGCTATGCGCCGCCGCCTGCCGGACGCAACGTAGCGGATACGCAACCTACATTCAAAATGGGGAAAATCCAGTTGGCAACTGAATTACTGTCGACGCCAAGATAAGGGTTTACCTACCTAATAATTTATGTAGTAGCAGCGAATGACGATAACCTTGCGACTACGCTTGACTTTTGTGCTCTCAATTCAGATGGTTGGGTTGGGTTGGCTGGCAGGTATTTTGGTTTTTAATGCGTCCTTAATTACAGCAAAAAGTATTTATGTTTTCAGGGTATTTTTCGACTTCGATTTGTAAGCATTTTGGGGCGTCTACAAATGCTAAAAAATTGTAGTTGAATATCAAGTTAGAAAATTTAGAGCGCCTTGCAAACTACGTCATTACTTTTTATAGTAGTAAGTAGTTACTCATTACACGAATTTACATAAATATTTATGGAACGCTTGCTTTGACACTTGCGTGCACGTAATTAAAAGCTTTGTGATATTACCACACTTTCCAGCGCTCAGGGTTTTCTTACTGATTACGTTAGTATGCAAAATTAGGGTCAGTTGTTGAAGAATAGCTTAGCTTACTCATTGCAAAAAGTAAACTAAAGTAGGTTGAGGTAGGTAGTAAGCAATGCTTCAGGCGACTTGTCCAATAGAAGCAATTTGAAAGCAAAAAAAGTTTTGTTAAACGGCAGTGTGCCCTTCAGTAGAAACTCTCTTCTGGAAGATTCAGCTTTAAACACAGAAAGCTTTCCTTAATTATAAGCAACAGTATAATTCGAAAAATCGCAACAACTAATATCGCCTGCCACACCTTAATTATTTAGAGATTTTTCGCCAATCTTACTGTGTGGTTTATTTTGTGGAAGGCCCTTCTGTTGCATAATAATAGCTAAAACTTTTTCTAAGATTCGCCTAAAATATGTTGGACCATTCTGAGGAAAGCTTGGAAAGCTTTAAAACTCAGGCCGGAAATGACAATGACCTCTTTATTATCAATATTAGGGGTCATATGCACCGCGACCTCTAGACTGATCTACTGTGCGTGACCCATCGTCCTATATGGGAAAGCCTTTAATGTAGTCTTGCACTTCCAAGAGCGTTTTATCACCACCCAAGTGAGCTAGTCTGCTCCTAGCGAAAGCGTCACATTCACAGAGATTGGGTTCTGCCGTTTATTCGTCCAGCTCGCCAAAGCGACAGATATTTTTCTCTGAAATATTAATTTCACCGAGGTGATTGCGAAGGGGGCAGTATCCTGTGTGCGAGTTTTCGAGTCCTCTCTGCCTAAATTAAGTAGTCATTTTGAAGCTTCTGTTGAAGGACAGAGAAATCGTTTGGCTTGTTTCTGCACTGGACATGCCATCCAGTGACTGTTGAGCTTTTTGGATCAAAAGGTACCGGACGGACCATCAACTGAAGTGAAGCGAACTCCGGTAAGGGCGCTCTGTATCGACCGGAACAAATCGTAGACTGATGGTGCAAGGTCTGTACTATAAGGCAGGTGAGTACCATCGAGATAAGTTTTGAATCACTTGCATCATGGTGGAAGATCAATTACTCAATTGTGATCGCCAATTCCGGTCGTTTTTCCGCAATCTCTCGCTTCAATCGCCTTCAATTGTTGTCCGTAGAGAGCCCCGTCGATCGTCTGATCACACAGAAGCTCATGATAAAGGATTCCCTTATGTTTCCACCAAATGCAGAGCATTGCATTGCAGTCATAGATATTTAACTTTGGCGTCGATGATGCGGGTTCGCCCGCCATGCTTAACATACGCCTTCTGGCGCTTGGGATTATCGTAGTGCATCAATTTTTTTGTATCGCCGATAACAGCAAACTGCAAAAATGAATTCGCTTTGTGCCGTTGAAGGAGCATTTGGGAAACAGGACACGCCGTTCGTCCTCCCGCGAATGGAATTTTGTAGGCGCAAAAACTGGCATAGCCGTTGTACGATGAAAATATTTTGCTTACACTTTGATTAAATGGCACATACTGTGAAATGTGGTTAAATGATGACTCTTTAACATCAATGTACCGAACCAGGAATCGAACGATTTTTGTTTTGAGTTGCCAGAACCAAACCGAAAAGCAATACCAGAAATAGTTCCATTCGGTTCGAAGTGAATAATCAGACAACGTTTTGCATTGGTATGGTGTCCAGCCGAGACATTTGCATTCCCAAAAACATAGCCTTCATGGTGGAAAATAGGTGGAGCGGCAATTTTTAGAGAACGTAAATCTTTGTCGCTGGCTTGCACTCTTACTATTTCCAAACTAATTTGGCAAGTCTGGCCTAAATTATTGTAGAAATAAAGTGAACTTGTTATGCTCTGGGTTCCAAGTGACGCGGAAGTACCTGATAATGAAACAGCTGACTATTTGGATAGAGTAGGTGAATGGGCTCAGACCAGGCATTTCTTGGTTTTGCAAACAGGTGAAGCACTTCCACTCTAGCCATAGAAGCCGCCAGCAACAACTGGGTGAGTAAATATTTCACTAATCAATGACCGGTTTTTCTAGTATATAAGTAAAAGTTGTAATTCAGCAAAAATTACAACGTATTCACATAAAAATAACTCACTTTATATTCCAATTCGCAGGCATTGTGACTCACATACAATTAAATTTTTGCTACAGCTAAGAACAATATTAGACCACTCCTTTCCGGCTTTCGAGAACAGCTGACACCTCACCCCCAGTGTGTCTACATATTTTTTATAATCCATGAACAATATGAAAATCAATGCTGTGCTTGCGTTACTAATTATAAAACGCCTCGTCAGTTATATACATACATACATCTAACTAAATACATGACTGAGTACATGCTTCGACATAAACATAATCATAAACATACGATTATAATAATAATAACTAAATTCATAAGCAGATTTATGTTGCTAATCATACGCTGTAGTCAGCTATTGTTTCTATGCTTCTACTTAAAGTGACTTCATGAAACCATTGTCATCATAACTACGAGAGATTATAGGCCACTCACATAACTACTACATACACTCATATACATGTTTACATGTATACATAGAAGTATATAAACATGTTATGAATCCAATTATGTATGAACCTGCATAAAATTATTCACATGCAGCAGCAAACGTAAGATTATGCATGTGACATAATTGGATATATAGCTTTATGAGGTTGAATGCCTGCAATATTTTGCCATCATCATCAAATCGGCGTTGTATGTACATATTTATGTATTTTAAAATACTAATTTTGCATCAGCTTGCGAACAACAACGACAACAGTAGCAGTAACATATTGGGCCAACAACAACGCGATGTTGCCAACGAGGGCGATGTTGCCAACGAGGGCGATGTTGCTGACGATGATGATGACGACGATGATGTTGATGGTGGTGGCGTTATAGCCGATGATGTCAGCTGTAAAATGCCATAGAATTATGTTCATTATTGTTGCCGTTTGTTCTTGTTGTTATGCACGCCAAGTTAATAATAGCATGCCTGTCGATTTTATCGTTGATGTGGCATGATAAAGCAGGTTGCACTGTTGAGAAGTTAGTTAAAAAAAGTAGTTTCTCACAATAATTGTTTTTGTTTTGCGATTAGTGTTCCAAACATGTGCTTGTGAGAATATTGAACCACTTAAAAGCGGCTAGAAGTAGCTCGACACCGCAACGAATATCTACAGTGAAACCTAGGTATAACGAACTTTGATACAACGAAAAACTTAATAAAACGAAATTTTTGCTGAGTCGCCTGAAAACACCTCGTTGTTGCGAAAATTTCCATACAAAAATAGAAAAAAAATAGAATAGAAATAGAGAAATAAAGAAATACGTTAGCAAAAGCCTCTGAGAATGTTGAGTCCCGCCATAAAAAATAAACTACTTAAAACGTATTTTTTCAAAAATTTTTGCATTATTTGTTGTGTCGAGGTGTTGCTATTCAATTAATATAACGAAACTATAGATACTATAACGATGTATTTTTCCAACCCCTTCAACTTCCTTATATCGAGGTTTCACTGTATGTAGTTGTAAGTAGGCCTCTTTATTGATGCGTATCGGTTGTCAGGAGGATAAAGGAGCGCCGAAGGATTAACTGGTTCCCTTCTGGTATTGGCGTTGCTTCCTATGCTTCCAAAAATAAAAATAAAAAAAATATTAAACAAATTTTAATAAACTAATATAAAATAATAAAAAAAAAGTTAGAACAAAAAAAAAAAATATTAAAAAAAATGGTGAAAAATTTAAAAATGAACTAATATAAAAAATTATAAAAATGTTTTATTTATGCGCTAAAAGGTAGAAAATATAAACATTTATTCCACCTTAATTGGTTCTAATTCAAGTCTTAAAAGGATATAGAAAAATTTAATTTTTTTGTTGGAACTTGGCAACTTCAGTACTGCAATTAAAAAATTGAAACACCGAAAATTCAATGACATTGCATCTTCCTTCTTCGCTTACTCTTAGTCATAACCGCAGGCCAGTGTGTAGCGTCTTTCGATAGTTCTCTTTCAATATTTAATACATAAAAATATGGAGCAGGAGATAGATAAAATCGACCTCTTTCGTGAAAATCTTTAATATTAAGGCTAAGTTTTAAAAAATTAGGATGGAGGTTGAAAGTCAGATTAAAAGCTAGGGAAGGCTTCTTTTACGTTTAACTCGGTCTATGAGGATTAAGAACTGCTTGAAATTTTTGAACTTAACACGAAAAAAAATTAATATGCTGCGATGAAATTGGTTTCAAATAGACCCTATACTGACTGACTTCAAGTGCTAAGAAAGGAAGGTGCCGTATTCGAGAGAAATATGAGCTGGATATTTTCGCAAAACAGTTTAAAATAGGTACAAAAGAGTTAGAAGTGATGCCCTTCATCCGCAACTCTCCGTTGTGGTTTCACATTAGACTCTGTCTATGGGCAAATGAATTATGGGCCCTAGAAATTATATCTTTTTCACTGTAGAAATGTATCAGAAAGCGGCAAAGTTGACTTCAAACATACCTTAATCTGCCTATGTCCCAAACTCTGAGAGCTGAGTAAAAGAAGCACGTCAGCTGAGATACAGATTCAGAGATCTTAAGAACGACATAGAAAGATAGAAGGTTTAGGGGTGGTGCCTTCCAGCCACTATTTCTGGGTTTTATGGAGTAATCGGTAATGTAATGCATGCCAGGTAGTCGCTATCAATGGAACAGTCGAGTGTTGAGAAGGCAAGACAGGTCGTTTTTTTTCGACAGGAAGAAAATGGTGGATTTGTTGACGTCCCACTTGCTCGTACTGCTAATTTGAATTTTTTGTATGGCCGCTGTTAAGCCGCCGTTGATTTAGGAACATTCTAAGGCTAGTAAAAAGTCAGCCATAATTGCTGATGGGAGCTTTTGCTTTCCACCATGAAAGCGTAGCCATGCTTAAAGCTCGATAAGTTGCAATAATGTTTGCATCTTTTCTTTTAAAGTTTGCTAGACTAAGGCTATATCAGACGTTCATCTGCACCCCTGGTAAGCTAGTTCATTAGCCGTATTCATAGTCAAAATAAAGTCCACACTTAAGTTAGTTTGAGCTTTTTGGCATAACTTTCAATGGAATATCTGCTGCTACTCCCTCTAGAATCGACTTTGTTTCGACTGTAAATATACCCGAATCTCTGTGCTAGGAACGGCCGCATGTAACTAACCAGTTATATGTACTTAATCCTAATTGTTTAGTTAAAATTTGACCAGTTTTCAAACATATTCAAGCAAATCAATTCATAACCAATTCCCAACAATCAAGAACCGTTCAGTGTTCGATGTCAAGCACATTGCTGATATTAAGTTTCGCAGTTCATTGGAATACTATCGATGTAAATCAGAGCGCCAACTAAATGCCCTACTTTTAGGCAGTTCACTTATAAGTAGGGTGCTAAGTACAGCCAGTCATTCTGCCAGCAACTGTTGTAAGCCCAGCACATTACTTTATATGCGCTGCAAACCCTTCGGATGGGGGCACACCGCAATGCCAATAAGTTGCCCCCCTTCCCCCCTTGGAACATGCAACAAAGTGCAAGAAAATCGAATTACAGCTGCTTCAATTACAACTCTCACTTGCCAACTAGGCGCATTAAAACAAAGTGGTCCCATTTGCAGACTATCAAAGAGCAACAGCTGCTGGACGTCTACATTGCATGCTGACGAAGTCGTCGTTGTCGTCGTTGTCGTCACCGTCACCAGCCGCATTGGCAATATCGATGACCTCATATACTCACATGTATGTACGTATGTATGGTTTATTAAATAATTTATATAGCAGTTGCAATGAATATATGTCAGTGTGTATGTGTGTAGTATTTTGTGGGAAGTGAAAGAGAACGTCTGACTACCAACTTACATATTTATGTAGTTGGTTGGTTTGCCAGGCCGACTGGTTGGCTAGTCAGTCATACAGTCATGCAAGTAGTAAATAAGTAGTCATTCATTCAGACAAGCGAGACGCTGCAACCGCTGATGCTGTTGTTGCTGTTGTTGCTATTCCTTATACATAACTGCCTATTACTTCTATTACTCACAGGGCACTATATATGAATAAGATTGACCCCCTTTTTTTCTATTTTTCTGATGTTTTGAAAGTTTTTTTTTGGGTCACCCTTTTTCTGGCACAACCCTCTCACCTCTCTCCACTCACACTAGGTGCTTTAAGATTCTCTACATACAACATTTATGTGTATACTCGTAGCTACAAATATTGCACTAAAATGTTGCCATTTTAATGTTCGTAATTTTTATTAATATTTTTTGCATTCGCTTCCTTCTTGCTTCCACGATTCTCTTTGCGCCCCCAACCCCCTTTGCTTAATGGCACAGCATGCAAAATGTTGACGTTGCAGCTGCTTTCGTGTCTCGAACTGGGTTAACTTTTGTATTCTGGTTGAGTTTGAACAGCTTATGGTTACCGACAGTTGCTAGACTTTTTGTTGATGGACTTTTGCTTTTATTGTTGCTGTTGTTTGCTTCTTGGTTTCGACGGCATGTGTTCAACATCCGTGCAGTTTATATTGAAAAGTGATAGTACAAAAAAATATGGTTTGTACAAAAAGAACATGCAAAATTATCGCAAACAAAACACATCAAATTATAGTTATTATGATTATTATGAAGAGAGAAAAAAAATACGGTGGCCTGACTGACTGGCTGATTCGACTGGCCGTCAGCTATTCACCACGCGTCACAGTGCTTTCCTTCCATAAGAAATGTGGGCAAAAATAGAATTATGGACGGATTTAAACAAAAATTCGCTTCTTAGTAAAATTGAGGATGCTAAATTCAAAAATTAAATTTTTTGATAACTTTCATACTTTCACTGTAAATGCAGTTTGAAGTTGAAAATTTGGGTTCTTGGGGCATTTACATAGGTATGCACATATAGTTCGTTCTATTTTCAAAAGTAGGATGTCAAATGTGTAATAAAGTTTTATTTTTTTTTTAGAAACGGGTTGCCACCTGTTACAAATTTTATTAAAATTATTTAATAAGTTAAATGAATTAGATATTATAATATGGGTATCAATTGAAATGGTTTTGAAAATTCTTTACTTTTAAACGACACGTAGAAAGGTTGCCACATGATTAAAAAATCAACTTCAGTTTAATTAGGGGAATAAGATAACTGAAATATGTACATCAATATGGGTATGAGATAAAAGAAAAAAACTGGACATATTAAGCAACAAATAAGTGAAGATTAAAAACATTCCTTAGTTAATTTAAGAGTATAGGAATTTAAAAGGAATGTAATCAGAACAAGTCACTGATTGGCAATGTATGTATTTGTAATAAAATGACAAATACGATGTCGTAAACCTTTGGTTTGACACAATTATTATTTCAGTTTAAGTGGCAACACTCTTCGTGATAGTTGCAAGCTAAAACCTCTTTAAACCTTTTTCGTCTGACTTCCATATGGTGATATCTATCTATTTCAATAACCTAATTCCTTTAATTACAATGGAATTTGATTTTTTAACAGGTGGCAACCCTCTACATGTAGTTAAAAATAGACCCTTTTCATACACACACATTTCGATTGATACCCATCTCTTAATAATTCATTTAACTGATTAAAAAATCTGAATTAAATTTTTTAATAGGTGGCAACTCTAAAAAAAAATTACCTGGCGGAACGTAATTATTTTTTACAGCGAAATTTCTATTTAATTCTTTTTAGTGGATAAATTACCTTTCCAAAAATACCAAACACGTTCACATTGCAGACAAAAAAAAATTCGATTTTTGCCCACTTAGGCGGCACTATGCGCGTCTTCCATATGTTGTCGGTGCAGGCAATCATTTGACTGGTTATGAATGGTTGCTGGCTAGCATAAGTGAGCCAAGATGAGACGACGGTTCATATGAGAAGAATAGGTAACTAATTTTTATGATCTTTGGGCAGTGGACACGCTCACCTTTGCATTTGCCATGGTTGTCAATTTTTGTGTCAAAGTCGTTGCAATTTAAGTTGCGTTGAGCTTTGAACTATTATTATTATCGGTGTTTTCAAAGGAGCTGCTCAAATTAGATTTGAAACAGCCGAAGGCCCTGCAGCTAGCGCTGTTATATTTTTTTGTAGGTAGTATAATTATTAATAATTATATTCCCTTTTAATAAATAAATAAAATAGATTTGAAAATAATCATTTTTAATGTATATTAAACTTTTTAGTTAACAGAAAAAAGAAGAAATTGAAAATTTTTTAATATCCACAGGTTCTGCGCTTAGAACCCGCAACGTATGCATACACCCCCTTCCAATGAAAACAAGTATTAGGTACTCGTATATCAGCATCGAGAACGATTTATTCAATGGACGTTGATGATGCCTTTGGACATAATCTACGCCAACAAAATGTTGGCACGTTTGTTAGCAAACATAATATCCTATCTTACTGTGGGTATCTGGCCTAAAAAGCATCTATGAATCAGGAGACATCTGGCCACTTGAGCAAAGCACAGCAAAAGCTATTCATTGTCAACAACTGTGTCCTGGCAGGACATCCCCTCTTCGGCCATCAAAACTATAACTGAGACGACGCATCGCATGCCTGAAGATGGGCTAAACTATGTCTCTCTGAACAAACGAGACAAATGGTCCCAGATTCGACGTACAAACACCCTACACTGTGATCGGCAATGCATGTGTATCTGAGAATAAAGAATCACACAAAATTTTATAGAACGGCGAACTTCCTCGGCCAGTACATTAGGGGGCGGATATGGTAGATGTGGTCCAATTTTAATAAAATTTGGTTTTCATAAATTTTGTGTGATTGGTTGGCGGTCAGTGGGTCGATTTTGGCCATCTTTCAGATTTAAGTTTTTCTGGTGAAAACTTAGACAAAAACCTAATTTTATCAAAGTCGATTAATATTTGCCATTTTCGCCTCCTAGTGTAGTGGGCGTGTCAGCTCGGTAATGTATGCCATTTTTTATATTTCCTTGCTCCTAAGCAAAGCTACTGTATGTATCATATTTTAGCAAAATCGAAACACGTTTACTACTATTTGTCGCAGCTTATACGGGGATCTTCCACTCTGGAGCTTTTACAAGAAACCTTTACTGAAAAAAAACTACTGCATTAGACGATGGAAAAATTTGTCGAACGATATCTAATACGAATACCTTGCGCTGACGGAGGTGCTTTGATACAAGCAATTTTTAATTTTTAGTTTTATTCCTGAAGCGCCAAAATAGCTTTTAGAAGACATACACTTTAGTGCAGCAGCATTTTGTAGGTAACTAATCAGGCACTAGACTTTTTTCTTACAAAAACTGTATGTTTGTTATGACATAAAACTGCACTAAACCAATTACTCACGTGGCGTGAACGATTTCTTGCAACGGAGTTTAGATAGGTAGGAACTTAGAAAGTTCTGCGAAAAATGTGTATACCTTTTTAAGCCCAAGATATGCCTTGAAAAAATTAGGTTGTGAAAATAGAGTGTTGTCTTCATTGAAAATGGTTTAAAATTAAATTTAATAAAAAAAAAAACCTAAAGCAAACAGGGAGTAATTCCACAAAGTGTAATTGAAATCAAGGAAGTAATGAAGTGTTTAAGCATTGCGATAGAACTTAAGTAAGGCACGACTTTTTCGTCAACATGGCAACCAGAGTAGAAGTCATATTCTGTAAATTCATTTGCTGAATTAAGCGCTCAGCTATAGCAAATTAGAACTCTGACTTTACTCATAAAATGCTTCATACCAATTACGTGGATACCTCTTTTAATGAATGTAACACCGTGCGACAATAAGAAAAAAAAATTAAAAACACATGAAAGAATCCATATGCACTCGAAACTATGGGTCAAATATAGGAAAACTTCGTTTTTAGTTTTTCACTCTGATGGCAGGATATTTTTTCAAAGAACATTGAAATTTTATAGATAATTTAATTACAAAACTTATTTAAAAAATCAGTTCAATGTAGAATAACAATATGATTACCAAATGAGAGAGAAAAATCAGTAGAATTTAAAAACAATAAAGTTTTTTGGTTTGCAAGGACGAATAGGTATTGCAAATGCGCTTTTAATAAATTTTATCTTTTTAAGTTAGTAAAGT